TGTGTGTGTACTGTGTTAAATCTAATTTATTCTTCAGGTTGTGCAACATCTACTTCAAGTTCTCTGTAAGCGTTGGCTGCCACTGCAATCTCTCCATGAGCATGTGATTGGTCTTGCTAAAGTATATAGCAGAATTTCATAAATTAATTTTACGTAATGATCTGCCGCCTCATCATGGTGGGGGGAACCCTGGGTGTCGCACTGCGCACAGCGAAGGTTTATCCTCTAACAGGGTCTTCAGAGCTGAGAAGGAATTCGACGTTTCCGGCTCCCTGGATGCCCAGCTAAGAGTAGGCCATGCTAGAAGTCCCACCGTCTGGGTGATTCAATAGCTAGGTGGTTCCCTGATCCACATAGGTCAGCGATTGCCTGTGGTGAAAGCTTGGCGGCCCCTTGCAAAACTGCTAAGCTTGAAAGTTCTAGTGCTTGTACAGCATGCAAAAAGGAAAAGAAGCCTTGCATACTGGATCCATCTCCGGCGTTGGATGTCATCAAGACCAGTGTCAGGTTGCACAGGACGCCATGAAGTTCGGACCAGAAGGGCACGTCAACTACTCGTCATTGAGATTGTCTCATGCTCTGCACCTACAATGCCAGGACTTGAGAACGCCAATTTTCACGCTCTTCACGAAGCTGCAAGCTAAATTCGAAGACGGACGTGAGGCAGCTGAGTGATGGCACACTCATCATCCGTGGTGGTTTCATCACGGAATGATGGAGGCGTTGGATTTGTCGTACACCCATTCGCATAGGTTAGATACATAGAGCCACGGCTCTGGTCACCTTCATCAATGAGCCAAAGAGTAGGACCCTCACCTGATAAAGTTTGAGTATGTCGATGTCCGGGCAGGAGCTCCGGACATCGACTTATCTACACCTAGAAGTTTGAAGATCGAGAACTATATGACCAATAAAGGGAGGAAACTTTCACTTTATTGTTGACAAGATAAGATTAAGATGTCGTAGTACATAAGAACTGTGGAGAGAATGATGAGGTCCATGAAAGACGAAAAGGTATAGTTTCGAGGGTAGAAGTTGAAATTGGAAAATCCACAAAACGTGGGGAGTAAGTGCTGAATTCGCCCTGTAACTATTTCTTTCAAAATAATTGATGTGCCTAAGAACTTCGAAAAGCATGAATCGTTGGAAGTAATCGTTATTATGGTTAGGAATTGACTTCTAGAAGTATGCACGTCAAATAGCCTTGAGTAGTGAAAGTCAAGAGAACATAGAGAATAACTCGTTATGGTGGAACTTATGAAAGTTGCGCA